TATGGCTTACCTTGTGGTTGTATCAGAAAAAAAACATTGTCCTTCTCAAAAATAACCTTAAAACAGTTGAGAAGTTGTAAACAAAATAGAAAGAAGCAACAAGGTCCTATCCGCCGTGTGATGTTATTAATGTCAATCTTCAGCCCTGGTATTATTTGATTTCACAGGCTGTTTATTTATAAAAAGTTTCATTTGCACAAAAGAATGTATATTGAATGTCTATTCTTTATGTACTGTGTCCCCTCAAGATGTAGGCGATTATGGCTCTCCACAATTTCCTGTCCTTTGTAGCTCTTAATAAATTTTGTCTTTTTGTTATTTCTCCTAAACCTTGTTTTTCCACCTATTTACTCAAGCTCATAAAGTATGTTATGCACTGTTTTCCTTTGTCCCTCTTTTCCTCGTTCTATCCTGTGGGTATCAGATTTTCCAAGCCCTCTTTCCTCATTAAGTGCTCCAGAAATTTCAACTGTCATTTCCTGATGTTGAGTATAATTTTTCTTTTTGTTTCAGTTTTCTCTAAAATTTTGTCATTGCCTACATGTTCAGTCTATAGTATTCCCATCATCCCTCTGTAGAACCCAATTTCTGTTGCTTAAAGTCTCTTCTTCATCTGTAAGCATTCCAGCATTCACTGCCATATAGTAAGACTGATATTAATTACATAACAATTCAGTACTCATTTCTTTTTTTTTCTATGAGTCACCTTATTTACAGTTGATGACTGAAAAATCTTATAATTAAATGGCTTTTTTGAGGGATTTTGATACTTACTCTGGAATAAGTTCCACATTCTGAAAGCTGTTGTTTGAGAAGTTGTGATTCCACTTGACAAACTAATTTTTTCCCAATGACAACTGTAACAGTACCTCCTAATGTTATTTGTTCTGTTTTAATTAATTCTCATTGAGTTGTTTAAACAGGTCATTAAGCAAAAGAATTAAACTGAAAACTGATAAGTGCTTATCAAAATGGAATTTGAATTTAAACTGTAACCCCAATTCTAATTTTTAAAATCTTTTTTTACAATGACTTTTCATGCTGTACAAGGCCTAGGAGCTACTTAAGATGTAAGACATTGACCCTACACTTGAACAGGTTAAGATCAAGAAAGCATCCTCTTGGGAGTTGCTTCCACGGAGAAGCGGTTCTTAAAAAGAAGCTGGAAGTGGAACTTCCATCTCACCAATGAAATACAAATAGAATGATGTTGGTTTGCTATGATGTGTAGCATGACGGGTTTATAGGCATGAAGGTTAAACTAAGGAATGTAGTTTGACTGAGGTCTTTCCATGGAAATAACGACAGGTCAGCGAGAGGATTGCAATGTTTTGTCCGTCACTTTGGAAAATAATGTTTCTTCATATTTAAAAGTAGCTGCTTGAAGATTAAAATAGGCACGCAATACCCCTCGGTCTCTTCTCTCTCTCTTTTTTTTCTTCTCTTTCTCTCAAATTCATTTTTTCACCCTTGGAAGTGTGATGAGCCAAGGAAAAAGAAATTCCCTGGGGAAATACATTATAACCAATGGACCCTTAAAGTTAACTGCTTTCATTGAATAATATATATAATATATAAGTAATGGACGTTTTATTTATTAATCAGACAGATTTTATCATTTTTATGTTATTTTAAGTGGATACTCATATTTGGGTAGTTATTCAGTTCATGAATTAAAGAGTAAACAGTCATCATGCCTATAAATTTTTTCTTGTCTTGAAATCTTCAGTGTTAAATAATTAAAAACACCCCGCTGAAAAATAATTCTTTTTGTGAGAAGTCCATGATAAAATTAGAAAATCTTGTGAGACATGCATATGAGAGTCTTCAAAAATCTACAGAGAATGTCTTTGCATAAAAAGATAAGCTCAGAATGATGAGTTTGAATGCTAATTTTATCTTATGTAAATTTTGTCCTGGACAAATGACTCACTTATAGAAAAATTATCTCATTTGTTCCTCTAATTAATATTAACTAGCTTTAGTCTGTAAAAATTTCACTTTTTTTTATTTTAACTTTCTGATGAATCTTAATTCTTCAGTTAATGATTGTATAAGCTCAGGGTGAGTTTTATGACACTAAAATATCCGTAAAAATTCCCCTATCACATTGTTAAATATTTGAGCTTAACAAGTTCAACAAACATATTTGCAATAACAATCATAAATATAAATACTTGTCGTTATTTTAAGAAGTAAGGGGATACAACTGAAAAGATTTGAAATTGATAACTTTTTCCATTTTACTGAAACTTTCTTTCATTTTCTTTCTCTGATACGTCTTTTGTCTTCTTACGTGATCAAAATGTCCGTTATAAGGTCCATTATTTATAAAGTATTGGCAGGGTGTAACACGTGTAAACTAATGAAGGTGAGGAACAAGCACAATTATTATGGTACTGAATGATTGTTATTTCCATAAAACTTTTAGAAGGTTCTTTGTTAGTCTTAAACTTTTTTTTTTCTTTCTTTTTTTTTTTTTATAACTTCACAAGAAACTGGAAATATTAATCGACTGATTTCTTAACTCTTAAAAAGGTGAGCATCATCAATTGATGTTTCATTGGGGATGATTGGATATCATCAACTTTTCCTAATGAGACAAGCATTGCGAACCATTCAGGATTTGAGTCTAAATGACTAATTGCCAACTCTAGGGCTTAAGACTTTCTTGGAATATTTGCCTGCAAATAAAATTGGAAGAACAAAGCAATGTCTTCATGCCTAATTCTCAAAGAGAAAAAAAAAGTCAAAAAATGGTGACAACTTAGAGGTACAACCGCATTGTGTAATTCCATTGTACATAGAATGCTTCAAAGAGTATCATAATGTAAAAATTATTAAATTTAGGACTCCGACTTTTATTTTTATAATGTAAGTTAAAATAAATATTCTTTTTATGGTTTTTGTTAATTAAAGTTAAAAGAAGTATAAAAACTACATTTAAGCCCCCCAAAAAAGATTAATTTTTTTTTTTTTGCAATGATGTTCACTCTGTACATGGCCCAAGAGCCACTCGAGCTAGAGCTTCCCAAGGAAGGTGATACTGCAACCAAAATGCAAGGAGCCACCAGAAGTGAAATAGGAGACTTTAGAAGGAACTGGAAAAACATTCCTGAACTGGAAACAAGTTTTCTTACTAGTTTGACATGCATGTTTGCAAACCCCTTTCACTGCCAGATGTGTGTTTTAACAGTAGAATCCTATGTCTTGGATGATATGAACGAAGTGTGTGTGCATATATATATATATATATATATATATATATATATATATATATAAAAAAAAAAAACTTTCTATATTTATTTTTTTTAATTTCTAAACATTTGTATTGTTAATATTAAAAACAAATCCTTTTCTTCAGTGTTATTAGGTGTTTATAAAGTTTCCAATATTTTTTTTCACTATCATCTACTTTTTTTTTTTTTTTTTTTTTTTTTTTTAAGAGAGGATTCTGGGAACTTGTGCACCAGTTTAATAATTTTTTTTTCTCCTTGCTTTTCTTGTTCTTTTCACAACTGTCACAAGATATCTTTTATAGAATGCAACAAACGAAGGATGAAGAACTCTCCTGAAAAAAAAGAGGTAAAGAAAGCAATCAAGTGACTATTAGTTTAGAAGTTACTGACCTAAATAGAGAACAATAAAATAAAAATCTGTTTTCTTCATCTCACATGATGTATTTCTTGTGACTTTTGTTTTGATTCTGGAGCATTAAGATGAATTCCAGTTTGCTTGCGGGTGTGGCATAACTCAGAAAATGGAATCAACAGGTCTAAATTCAAATTATGTCTGAGTTTGTATGTATGTGGTGCTTATGTCCTTGGAAAAAGCATGAATCTATTTCTTCAGTCCTCAACTATGGGTAAAATAGTATGGGGAGTATTGGGTTTTTTAGCCTTGAATCTGAATTCAAAACCAGAGAGAAGGCTGTTGCCTTCTCTCTGGTTTTGAATTCCCACACTCCTCAAAACCTTCTGATCAGAGGCTTTGCTGCCAGATGTAGTTTATTGTCATATCCAGGGTGATTGACTGCTTTTGAATACTGGGTGCTATAAGCTTGGTGGAATATATAATGACTCAGAGTTGTTACTCAGTGAGCCAAGTTCCAATTCCAATCAAGTTCATTATATTCACTTAAATGTAAATATCCTTGAGAAAGTTATGTATCTTCCTCTTCTTCTCCATAGCTATGGGTTAATTAGTAATGCTTGTATCGGTAAATCATTATCTGCCAAAAATTCTTACGATTTAAAAATATTTTCGGGCTTTAAATAACCTGCAAATTCATTAAATATTTATTTCATTTTATTTTTTTATTTTTCTCCTCCACCAATAGGAATAGATAGGTTTGTCTATCATCTGGTTTCCATTCTTCCCAAATAGAATAAACAGTTTTATGAAACATTTAATATAAAAAATAATAATAAACAATGAAATCCATACATTATGAAATGGACAAAATCCGACACTTATTTTAAAACATTTTTATGTTTATACATTCTTTTTATAGATACAAATATTTAAGTAAATGTTCCGTTTATAATAAACAGTATTAAATAACATTTACCGGCCTGAATATCCAAGAAATTTTCACAGAAAATATTCGTCTTCTGACAGGATTCAAACCTGTATCCTTTACGGAGCCATCATTTAGCTTGACGTGCCTTTACCGATTTGGCCACTAAGGAACATTCAGTTAGCAAGGTCGAATTTACTGTAATTACTCCTTCGTAGCCAAATTGTTAAAGGCAAGTCAAGCTAAATGATGGCTCCATATAGGACACAGGTTCGTAATCCTGTCGAAGGACGAATATTTTCAGTGAAAATTTCTCGGGCATTCAGGCCGGTAAATGTTGTTTAATACTGTTTATTATAAAACAGAACATTTACTTAAATATTTGTATCTATAAAAAGAATGTATAAACATAAAAATGTCTTAAAATGAAATAGATCTTTTATAACAAATGAATCTGTAAAGAAAACCATATAATACGGTTTACGGCCATATCATGTTAAAACACCAATTCTCATACAATTACTGGAGTTAAACAATGTTGTGCCTGGATAGTACTCAGATGGGTGATTGCTTGGAAATGCTAGGTACTGTAAGCCTGCATGAACCGATGGGGTACTGTATATGGCTTCAAGTTGGGCTCATTACATTCATTTGCATGCAAATAACCTTGGCAAAGTTATGAATCCACTTCTCCCCCACTATGGGTTAATTAGTAGGACTTGTATCCATAAATCATTATTGCAAAAAAAAAAAAAATACAATCTAAAAATATTTTCTGGCTTTAAATAAACTATAGTGGTTGATAAGCCATAAAAAACAAATCAAACAATACCCAGCTACTTCAAATAGTTCTAATGAACCCAACACTACATATGCTACAACCTTATACAACCATATTTTCAGAAAAAAAAACCCTTTTAATATAATATGGTTATTTTTCTAAATGTAGCTCAGATGTGACACAAGGCTGGAAGTGTGTGGCACCCAGTGAGGATCGAATTCACCACTCAGTCCTAATTGTTCTAGTGAGACAAGCTTGTTAACCATTACACCACTTCGAGGTGACTACATTTAATATGATATACACCGACTTTAATCTATATTGACAGCACTAAATCTTAGATCTTTCAATTTGCGTGAGATTTCAGATGAGCCTTCTGTTTCAGTCAAATTGATGACTTTATATAGTGTTGAAGTGACTTGAAAACATCCTTTTGGTTGAAACTAACAGTATTTATTTTTTTCTGATTCATCAGAAAATTAAAAAGGTATGAAAATATTTTCTTTTGTCTCTGACAGTAGATGTACTGAGCTGACCTAAAATGAAGTTTATGTATCCTTTGTATTGTGCTCATTCAAGTGAGCATTTTTTCTTTGCGTTGAACAGTGGGATGTTATATTCATTTTATTAAAACAAGGGAATATATAATTGACTGTTGTTTCATATTCTAGATTGGCCTTCATATTGCAATATAACATATCTTTTCATGAATGTTATCTATTCTCTATTGTGGGCAAATCATTTGAGTATTTGTGAATAAATTAGGTAACCATATATGACAATTTAAAAAAAAAAAATTTTTTTTATTACTCCTTGCATGTACCATATGAACTTTGGTAGGTAGACATTCAGTGTTCATTTTTCAATTACAAAAAAACTTTTCTACATTAATCCTCAGCATGGCTGATGCTTACCTCCAGGAAAGTGATTCTTGCGATTAATGTTTCTGTTCCTAATTCTTCCACACCCTGTAACCCCTTGTGTTTTAGTGACTTTACTGCTTTGCTTGGGGGTGATACCAATTTTTTCTCCTTTGTAGACCAAAAAAGAAACAAAAAAAGACTTCTAAAAGTTACCAAATAATCACAAATAAACTTATAAACATATATATAGGGGGCATGGTATAGTAACGTGGCTTGGATTGAGGAATAATAATATATATATATATATATATATATATATATATATATATATATATATACACACACACACCTATATATAAATTTTTTTTTTTCATGGAAGTATTTATAGAAAAGGCACGGCAACTATATTATGACAATGGGAAAGTGACTGAAGGCAAGATGCCAGGTTGGGACCAATAACATTGCAGATTCTTTAGACTTGATCAAATGTTTAGCAGGAGCACCAGGCCATATTGTGGCATCAATATTCAAAGCATGGATGAATGGTAGACTTATAAAATAGATTAATAAAATTTCTGGAATGTTTTGGCCAGTAGTTGGAAATAAATAAATATACTGTTTAGTTTAATAAATAAACCATATCTACTCAAATATATGAGTCGTCACTAAAAATAACATTTAAATAATTAAACCACAATCTACAATGTAGATCATCCTCCCACTCTTCATGTCTACAGATCTATGGACTTTTTTTTTTTCTCATCCTGTTTCTGTCTGAGTCCAGGCCTGTGCTTTCTGACCGAGATCATAAAAACAGACATGAGGACATTAGTCTGGACATAAATGATATAAATAGTGATAACTCCTCACCCCAGAAATTTAGACAAACTTGACCAATTATTTTTATAATTTTTTTTTTTTTAACTCTCAAATATTGAGGACAATGGTGGTAGTGTTCTTTTTTTTTTATCTCTTTTAGGAAAAAAAAATGTGTATTAAATGTTGCTAGGCATAGATATTGAAAAAGACAATAGATTTTGTCCGCTCTGATGAATTCATCCTTTCCTTAGTTTTCTTTCTTCCTGGTGTCATTGATATTAAATATCCTGGTTATATGACTGGAGTAAATTTTTTTTTTTTTTCCTCACTATTTTCAGAAAATCAACATTGCGCTCGATGTGAAAACTGGGATTTGATGTGTACTGGCACTAAAAATTAAATTCATATCTTCACTTATAGTATAATTTCACTTTGAAGTAAATGAAGGTCTTTATCAATTTTTGAGCATTTAGGTTTCAAGATTGTCTGAAAAATGTTCAGAAATACCTAATTTCCACAGATTTTTGCTTACCAACTTCAAAATTTTACTATTTTAAGAATAAATCCAAATAAAGTTGATATTTCTGTATTAAATACATTGAATGGAAAATATATTCAAACCAGAATTCTAATTATGAATCACCACAAACAAAATATGCAATTTTTTTTACTGTATTCGATAAGTAAAAACTGTGTAAAAATTGAAAAAGGTTACAAAATGAATAAGATTTGTTAGATCATAAGTAATAAAAACAAGTGTCTACAATGCCATATTAATGCTGGGTACAAATTATAAGACAAAATGTTTTAAATTTGCATTGTTTATTGAAAATCACACTAAAACTATAGCACTGTATAACATATCACATCATAATATAGCTAAATTGTTCAGTATAATTTCACTTTGAAGTAAATGAAGGTCTTATTTGATGGCACAATGATTTAGTAATAATGTCCTTATGCCATGCATCTTGTCAATATACAATTTGTGAAGCTTCAGTAAATTATAAATTTTATAAGGCTGTGCAATAAGGCTTTCATTGATCACTGGAATGAAATTCCAATGCTATGATTTTGAACCTAAATTTAATATTTAAATTCTTCTCAAAAAATGGTAACAATGTAGAATAAAAAATTTGTTATTTATCATCTCAAACCCCAACTTTTCAAATTTAGTGCAATAGCATGGTTCCAAAATCGACCTGCCCTGTTGGGAGAAAAGAGAAACCAATTTATTAAGATGAAAATCTATAGAAAGTGCTTTAATCGTTAAATCATCCATAATAAATTTACATCCAAGTTCTTACATCTTGCCCTTCTTGACAGATCTTTTTTTCACAGTGTAGGATACTTTGTAACAAAAGTGATTTTAAAAATGTAAACTGAAGAAAGAAAGAAAATGAAATTGACAAAGACTGTGCCCAGGCACATATTTAAAATTATCCTCCCAAATTATGCTCCACTCCACTCCCAAAGTGTACCTATCTAAATTTTTTTAATACACGTCTGAGTAAATGAAATTGGCTGGGAGGTAAAAAAAAAATTACAAGTTTAAAATTTCAGCACTCCCTCTCCTCTATGCACATATATAGTTACAATTTAAACATCAGTTTAGTCCAATGAATTTGTAAGGGATGAAACACACAAAAAATTTGTCATTAATTTTCCAAATCTTACATAGGTACAAAGTATGTGGGTGGAGTGAGGCATAATTTAGGAGGAGGTAATGTTTTTTTTTTCTTTTTTTTAATCATTTCACTCCTAGCGAGATAATACAACTAAAACACAACAGGTTATTGGGAATGAAAGAGAAATGTAAACTGAATGATGATAAACTTATCTACTCCTATTTGTAAAAAAAAAATACAATTTTGGAATTTAAACAGAGACGTTTAGAAGATGTGTGATTGAAATGCATATATTCAGGTACGGACAGGGAATTGCCTAACCGTCGTTACTTATCAATTAAAATAAATAATTGTAAGATTGGTTGTGCTGTCACCATTCAAAGAAGAGTCAAGATTTTTCAACAAAGATTGAAAGCCAGTATGAATCTGTTTTAAACCGCCTCGGTAATAGATGGGTGGGTAAAACATTTGCAAAGTGGTATTCAAGAATTTTCATTTTGAGCTGAGACCTGAAGAAATGAGCAAACAATCTTGTCCTTTTATCACTTCCAAACATCTATCATCTAAATCAGGGTTTTGCAACAGGCAGCCCCCAGGCCACAATATGGCCACAATATGGCCTACGAAGCCTGTCGGTGTGGCCCACCATTTTTCCCTGTTTGGAAGTAAAAAAAGCTGTGATCCTTGGCCTCACTTGTACAAAATATGTTTCAAGTATTCAAAAACTGAGAGAAGAATTTTGGCAACTGGTTTGTGTATTTCAGAAAATATGAAAGGGATTTGAAACTGTTTTTCTCAAACATTTAAAATTGCAGATAAAGACAGTGCTATCAAATGGAGCTTATTGATTTGAAGTCAGATATGAACTTGAAGAGAGCATACAGTGAGAATGATTTGGTGACATTTCATTCAGTGTATGTAGGTAGAAAATATACAAATTTGATGCAATATGCCATTAAAATGATCTCTCTTTTTGGAAGCACATACTGCCATGAACAACTATTTAAAAAATTTTTTTTCAAGAATGCAAGTTAGAAAATCCAAATGCCGAAGTCATTACCAATGATTATTTGGGGTGAGTCGGCTATGTGTTGTCACTATATCTGTAAAAGCTGACATTGAAAAGTTGCACAAAGACAAATATATCAAGTGTCACATTAATCAAATGATGTATTCTCATGTTTATTTAATAAAGATGTGAAAATGCATCTATAGAAGCTGTTGTTACAGTCTTTGTACATTAAAAATGTTTTGTCGTGGAAAAAAAAGTTATATTTTTGGAGATGACTGGCTCTCCAAGAAAATATATTGAACACCCCTGATCTAAATGAATATTTGACAAAATGTGATGTTGTTTAACTTCTGATAAAAATACAAGACTAAGTTTTTCATTATTTTCACTATTTACATGAGGATTATTATCCTTATCTTTGTTGTTTTTATCACGTTTCAGCCATTGTGCCTTCTGGTTTTTATCAGATATATATTTATCCAGGTAACCTAG